CAAAGGTAGAGCAAGTGAGCAGACGTTGCTTTGTAAGAGGCAGCTTCCTCCAGCACACACTTCTGCTTCACAGGAGGAAAGCTGGACAGGCTGCAAGTGTTCAGGCTGAGACTTGCTTCTGGGAAGCTGTAGGGATGTCTGTTGCAGTACAATATTTGATTGTGCCAGTCCTAAAGGATGGCGGGTGCTGGAGCTCCCTTCTACCAAGTCCTTCTTGCTTTGACGTATCAACATGGGGAAAGAAGGACATAAAATCCTAAAAATCACTCCTGGTACTTATTCAGGGGTGGAGGGTGAAGCTTTCTCCTGCAGCAGCTGAACACTTTTTCTTCTTGGTGTTTTTTCTTTTTAAAGAAAGAAATAACTTAGATGGCACTTGTGCGTTATAAAACAAAGAATATACACTGTGCACTGTGAAAGCTGTATTTAAAGAGAGGACAGCTGGAAGTCAGAATACTTTTTTGCCATATTCTGATGTTTAGAAACAAAAGTAGTAATGTGTGCATGGAGAATTTGAACTCTGGTCTCCGAGAGACACAATTACAAGTGATCTGTATGAACCGAGAAACACTGACTGGGAAGGCACAATAGAACAGATTGTACCTTTATAAAGTGGAGTTGTAATCCAGTTTGTATGGAAAAAGAGAATGGAAGTTGTGGCCTAAACTCTACGGAGTCACAGCAGCTAACACAATACAGTGTAAGTAACATCCTTTTTCTCAAAGAGGCTCAAGGCTCATTCAGGCTGGCAATTCAATTACCCTCTCAACCCAGAAACAACCCCTCCCCTGTCCCTCTTCTACTCCCGAGCTCAGGTCTAATGGCAGAACAGCTACATTGTACATGGCCTGTAAATATCTAAAAAGCCTCAGGCTTCAGAGAACAAGAATCCCTGACCTTTTATGATTGCTATAGCAGTTTTCCAACAAAACAAACTATGTACAATAGAGCTCTTAAATACCTGACAAAGTAATTCATTTTCAGTACGCTGCTGTCTAAATACTTTATATTAATAATGAATCACATTTAAATAAATACCTGCATGCAGTGCTGCTTACTGCTTACACAGGGATGAGGACAAGGAATTTACTGAACTGAATCTCCTCTGAACAAGAAGGGTAACCTGCTGAAGGGAGTTTCTCAAGTGAGTGATGAAGAAAGATTCAGAAGCAGGAGAGGAACTTCAATAAGTCTAGAAAGTGTACTCCCATTTCCTGGATTTATTGACCTCGGATACCTCGATGTGCTATGTTTCACCTATTTATTTTGTCTAGAAGCTACCAGATATAAGATTTTGGATTTAAAACAAAAGTTTATTTACAAAGTGAAAACAGCAAAAAAGAAAACATTTTGAAAAGTATTTTCAACAACATGTAAAATATCCTTCTTGATCATGTGAAGTAAATACTTTTATGACAACACCACAAAAATATTCAGCAAGCAGATTGCTGAATGATATCTGAATGATTATTTCAATAAAAGTTTAGAAACATGCATAACAGTGAAAAAATATTTACTGGTTCCATTAAAAACTTTCAAAATTGTAAGTTAAAAGTTTTAGTGTGATTTTCAAAAGCACACAATTCTTGTTTTATGTCTACTCTAAAAGCGTATGGGGCAGGTACGCCAACCACCACAGGAGAAGAATGAAAGAGGGGGAAGGACGCTGCAGGAACAGCCATGGTAGTAGCTCTGCCAGGGTCATGACATCAGCTGAACCATTGCAACTTTCGGTACCCCCCTCTCAACTTCCACCTTGTATCTATTGCTTGCTTGGCAGAAAGAAAGAAGTTTCAGAGTGCAGTAGTGTAAAAATGGTAGTACATACCTATACCTAGGAAAAAATCCTATTAATAAAGGAAACCAGAATAATTTGTTGTTACTTTTTCTGAAGAACAGAATTTGTTATAATAGAAACATTTTCTAGCAAAGCCACCAGAAACTAATTCATCAAAAGGACAATACAGCATAGCAGACTGCAGCCATCAAGTCAAGGTTGGGTTCCCTCTACGCACTGTTTATCTCCCTTAGAAGTTGCTTGGTACATGAATTACAGGAGGCACAGCCATTGACATGGAGGCCACAAACACGCAGGACTTCCTAGCCTTGTTTCTCAGTCCATGACTTCAGGTATTTGCTGAGCATATCTGGTTGTGGGTGTTTCTCAATTCTAGTTTTTTGGGTTTGTTGTTTTGGTTTGGTTTTCTGTTTGTTTGTTTGTATTTAAAGTCAGCATTACAGCTGTTGCAGAGAAATGCTTCCACAACAATGCTATATTAGATTTCTTCCAATAGGGTACGGAGAGAAAGCAAAGGGTAAGCCTATATGTAAACTCACACTTGGAACTGGATTTCACAGATGCAGCACTGATTTTAGGCATGCAATTTCCCATCTTAACATCTTGGGTAGCAGAAACCAGCTACCTGACTTTTTAAAACTTCCTGTGTGTGAATGTTTTCTGCTATCTATGCAATTATCAGGCATCAACACAAGGTAAAAGCAGTTACCAAAACCATTGTACATCTTTTATAAAAGCTAGTCTCAGAGTGGACACAGAAGCTACTGATAGAATCAGAGAATAGTTTGGGTTGGAGGGGACCTTTAAAGGCCATCTAGTCCAACCCCCTGCAGTGAGCAGGGACAGCTTCAACTAGATCAGGTTGCTCGGAGCCCCATCCAAACTGACCTTGATATACCTTTGCCAAAATACAACTCTCAAAGCTCTGCAGTCACCCCACCTTGATTTTCTCTGTTCTGTAATGGATTCACAGAAATCAGAATGAATCCGCTGTTAAAATGACTAACCCTTTCTGCCAAGTCACAGAGTGGCATCATATTTCTGAGGCTATCGGAGCCTAAAAGACCCACCAAATTTCTCATTCCAGGATGCTGCTGGTGTTAGTTCTTCTTCTGACATCTTCTGTTGTAGTCTTCAGTCCATCTTCCCTGGTTCCTTATCCCCAGCTTTTATGTTTTGATAATCAGGCCCTTTTTCTTTCCTCAGCAACACATCACCCTATCCTACCCAAAGCAGTAGCATAACTAATCCTTAATAAGAAAATACCATCCTGGTAAAATACTTCCATAAAACTTGCTTTAGGCTTCCTAAACAAACCACAGCACAATAATGAGATGGAGACTAGCAGTTTCATTACTGCCTTGTACCTTCTCTGTTGAGTTTGCCTGCTTCACGATGCCTGGAAGAGGTAATACGCAGCAATATGCCGCATACTATACTATGGTTGCGAACAGATGCCTACATTCACAAAAATAAATACTGCACTGGCAGGGTAGAGGTTATCTAAGAAAACAGTCTATATGCAGATGCTGGGCATAATGCCAGTTACTGTAAACCACATCAACACATAGATACATTATAATTGATACATGTATCTTAATATCTCCTCTTATCCTAATGTTCCCTGTTAAGGTGCAGAATTTACCAGTGTCTTCTCTGTACAACACACGGTGTAGTAAAAGCAACGTAGCTGTTAACTGGCACACGGCGGGGCCGCTGTTGCCCACTTCCCTCCAGCTTTACCTACATCGGCCCTTTCAGCTGCATCTAACAGTGAGACACGTTAGAGTATAAAATGGAGCCCAAAAGTCTTTGTAGGACCCCCAGTAGGTTATAAGTCTAGTTGGGCTTGTACAGACAAATAAATCATACTGCGGCTAATGATTCTACAGATGGGAGGTAAGTTTTATAAGGTACGGGACAATCAATATCCAGTCATCTTCAGGCTATCCCAGACAGCCTAATTAATCTTGTCATATCTTTGCAGTCATGTTATTTATTTCTACTTCTGACTGTTAAAAGTCATCTGTAAACCACAAATTGGAATAATGTTTTTAAGATTTCATTATGATTATAGTCTAATAGTCTATTAAGAAAGGAAAAGGTACAGTACCTCCAAAGAGGGAGCTCAATTTATTCCTGTAGTATTTTATTAATAGTCTAAGTGACTGACAACATTTGCATTAACCAAAGCCTCTTACTACAAGCTACAAGAAAACATTCCTTGAGATGACTACCTTCATGCCAAATTTCTGCCTGTCGTGGTTTAGCCCCAGCCAGCAACTAAGCACCACGCAGCCGCTCACTCACTCCCCCTCCCACAGTGGGATGGGGGGAGAATTAGAAAAAAACCTCGTGGGCTGAGATAAACACAGTTTAATAGGACAGAAAGAGAGAAGGAAACAACAATGATAATACCAACAAAAGAATGTACGAGTGATGCCCAATACAGCAATTGCTCACCACCCAGTGATCAACAGCCCGTTCCCGAGCAGCGATTTCCGCCCCCCCAGCTAACTCTAGTTTATGTACTGGGCATGATGTCGTATGGCAGGGAATATCTCTTTGGCCAGCCTGGGTCAGCTGTCCCAGCTGTGTCCCCTCCCAGCTCCCCGTGCACCCCCAGCCTGCTCGCTGGCAGGCCAGCACGAGAAGCTGGACTGTCCTTGACTGCTCAGCAACAACCCAAAACATCAGCATGTTATCAACTTTTTCTCATCCCAGATCCAAAACACAGTCTCACACTAGCTTCTGTGAAGAAAACCAGCTCTATCCTGGCTGAAACTAAGACATTGCCCAAAGCAAATTTAAACTCTAATCACTTCTTAAAAAAAATAAACTTAAAAATCTTTAATGAAAGAAAAGGTTTGTAACTGTAATACCTCAGGTAGCAGCAAAGTTAAATAATTGCACTGTAATGCTCAGTATTTTGAATATCATTATACTTGAAAACCATTAAAATCAAAAACTTCATAGAAAAAGTGACATGAAGAAATAGATTTGCACTATACACTATCTGTGCAGGCACAAAACAGTAGTAAAAATAATTAAAAATTAGATTACTGTTGAACTTTTAAAAAAAATAGTTTACAACAGATGCTTTAAACTTTACAACGATAAAACATGAAATGCAATCTCACTAACAGAACTGCAAGTAACTGCTGTTATCTGCTTCCATGTACTACTGCAAGCCTGATTTTACCTTGTTTGCAATACTCGTGATAAATGACTTGATGTCCAGATTAGTTGGGCAACTCTTCTGACAGGGAGCATCTGCACACTTCAAGCATCTACAGGAATAAAAGAAAATGTGTCAAGGAGACTGTCATGGTTTAACCCCAGCCAGCAAGGAAGCACCACGCAGCCGCTCGCTCGCTCCCACACGGTGGGACAGGGGAGAGAATCAGAAGAGTCAAAGTGAGAAAACTCAGGGCTTGAGATGAAGACAGTGTAATAGCGAAAGCAAAAGCCGCACACGCAAGCAAAGCAAAACAAGGAATTCATTCACTGCTTCCCATGGGCAGGCAGGGCTTCAGCCATCTCCAGGAAAGTAGGGCTCCTTCATGCTTAATAGTTTCTTGGGAAGACAGATGCCATCACTCCAAACATCCTCCCACCCCCTTCCTTCTTCTTCCCCCAGCTTTATATGCTGAGCACGATGCCATATGGTATGGAATACCCCTCTGGCCAGTTTGGGTCAGCTGTCCTGGCTGTGTCCCCTCCCAGCTTCCTGTGTACCCCCAGTCTGCTCACTGGCAGGCCAGCATGAAAAGCCAGACAGCCCTTGACTGCTCAGCAACAACTGAAAACATCAGCACATTATCAACATTCTTCCATCCCAAATCCAAAATACAGTGTCATACTTGCTTCTGTGAAGAAAATTAACTCTATGCCAGCTGAAACCAGGACAGAGACATGGAATCCAAGTGCTGTCAGTAGCTTAAGGTTTTCAAGTTAGCATGGTAGACAATAAGCCACAAAGGAATAATACAGAACATTTTCCAAAAATTTCTATTTGAAACCTCAAAGCACTACATGATCATTATTGGCTTCCATTCAACATTGATGGGTTATGTTCTGTTGACTCTGCTTTACAAAGGAAGGCAGCAGGGTGCAGTTACAAACACGAGGAGCACCCACATCTAAGTATTAGGAAACAATGTCTAATTACATAGGAGTAATTTTTTTCCCTGGAATCCAAGATTGCTAAACTTCTGACCATTTCATTTTTCTATTTGAAAAACATCTGTGCTGTGAATTTGAATTTATTAATGAAGTTCTGGAAGTGTCACTGTGGATTAAATTCTGGATGTTGGACAATTAGACATACAGAAGCAACAGTATTTCTACAGAGGAAGGAATTACTTTGTACTGATGGGCTAAAGAGTAAGAATGGCTGATAAATTTTCAAGTCACATTTCTATGAGTTTCCTGTGATATGTCTGTGACCTCTGAAAACAATTCAGTGGTCTTATGCATACTCCCAACTGAAATCCCTAGGATCCTCCTCTTTTCATCCCTAATGACAAAACCTAACTGTATATTAAAATATACTAAGTAGCAAAGATTTATTGTCTTTTCCTGCATAGCGATCCATGAGGATGTACCAGTCTGGTTGCTTGCACAAGCCCCATCTAAGGATTAAGCCCTCAGAGCAGTCTGTGCACCTTGCACTCAGCAAACCTAACACGAAAAGGTAAAAGTCAGCTGAAGTAAAATGTTTCTCTATTAAACACAAAAGTATTTGTACGTGCTTTTGGTTTTACATATCAATAATTATCATAGGTCAAATGCCCCACTACTAATTATCCCAGAATTCATTAAGTTATTCCAGATGCTCTTTCAATATTGTTTTACTAACATACAGAATTTATGTAAATTGTGATTTTAACATTCTATGGAAAAGGAAATAAATTTGTTTTATACGTATTATCTGAGCACAACTACTCACACAAGTTCCATAAGCCCACCTTAACTATTGTTACTTAGTGACAGATAACAACACTGTGGAACTGGCTGGGACAGAATATTTTCAAACACACAAAAGCTGCAAGGGGCCTATGGACTACATGCACACAGAAGTGAAAAGCACATTAAAAGGAATGAAATGCCTGAAGTACCTTAAGTGAAAGACTGGCCCGACTTGGTCAATTGCACACATTGCTTTTGTTTTTGGTTTTTTGTTGTGGGGTTTTGTTTTGTTTTCAGTTATGGGTGGAATAAGAGAGAAGGCAAAGCCAGTTAAGTAAAAGATTAATTAGTCTTTCATCTTCCTACTCATTATCTAGCTGGCTATTGCAGACACCATGGCACCAGCAAAATTTGAAGGCACATGTGGTAGCCGCTGTTTGGATTTTCTCACAGAACTAGTCATAAGGAAAAGGTCCCAGAGGAAATATTTAAAGGAAAACAGGTCTCACAGGCTGCAAACGCCGGGAAACCTGATAAAGCCAAAGCCAGGTTCAACACCAGGGTGGGTTACTAGTTCAACTAGTCAGGGTGTCAGAGGGCTCTGGCAGAAGAGCACCAGCAGGTTTAGCTGGGGCAGTTAAACACACATCTGCCCGGCACTACCCACTGACAGGCACATGTTCTAAATGCTTTAACAAGCAAAGGCAGGCCAGTGGGGACCTGCAACGGTTGATGTGGCCAGAGAACAGTCAAGAGGATGCTGGTAGCATTCTAAGCAGACTGAAAGACAGCAAAGTTTTAGTACTAGAAGCCAGAAAAAAAAGGAGATACGCTAGACAAAATACACCACGATGAGGGCTCGGATGATCATTTTGCCTGTATAGGCAGCAAGGCAGTAACAGAAGTGTAAAATCACGTTTAAAAAAGGCAACAATTCCATAATGACTTTTTGCTCTTCACTTTCCTGAACATGGTTTCCTTTAAAATACAACAGTCCTGTATCCAAGAACAAAAGAATTGCACTTAACATAAAATACATTTCTGTGGATTACATATAAAACAATCTCATGTCAAAACTGACTGGAACGGCACCTAGCAGGATAAGCAGCATACACATCACTCGTTGTGGCTAGCAAGCATCTTTACCAAATTATTCCTTGATTTTTGAGCTGGTTCACAAATAACAGGTGTTGAAAATGTCAGCTATTGGGGGGGCGGGTAACGCAAACTCGAATGTGAGCTTTGGGGAGGAGGAGAGGGTGCCACGAATATGCCAGTCCAGACTTTCTCGTATAATAATACCATCTTCTCATTCTCTGAGCGCTCTGCAGACTAAAGTGCACCAGGCTGCCATTAATCCCACTTATCACTCTGACAGCTCAGTAATTACACTCCCGCTGTAGCTGGGTACTGTAAGGTACTGTAGTCCTAATAAAACATCAAGCACTGTGCAGAATGCGTGCTGGTGAGGTGTTTTATTAAACTTGGGGGGTTGATCATCAAGTGACATTAGTGTTGACCTATTTTTCTGTCTGACAATAAATTATCCTTTGACCATACCATAATAGATATTACAGAGTGCATTTACTGTACCAAGGAGCAAAGGTATTGCAGTCTGGTGAACCAGGCAAAAAGCATAAATAAAACAGTAGAATCACCCACCAGAAAGTTATTACATAAATTGCTGCAACTGATTGATCCTTTCAAAAATCACAGGAAAAATACTGTGCTTAAGGGAATACGATGACAATTACAATGAGCTTCAATTCCACATGCATGTCTCCATACGAAGAAACATTATTACACTTCTTTCCTTTTTCTTTAACTGTCCTCCCACCCTATGAAAACGCATCTTTCATTTTACAAGATTATTCCATTACTATGGTTTTAGTTCAAAATAATGTAAACAACAAACTAGAAATTTAATTTCCCTAACTCACCTGCTACATTCTACCAAATTTAAATGAAGAGCTACCCGCTTACAATTTAAAAAAACAAACAAACAAAAACCCCACAAACAACAAGAAAATAAACAGAAAACCATTAAAATGAAACAGCCATGTTTTTAAGTGGTCATAGTATTCTGGACTGCATAGAAATACAGACCATTAGACAAAGCCAGACCTATGCTAGTCTCAGAGTATATATCTCAGCATTTCTTGGTAAAAATATAGGAAAAATCCTTTCAACTATCAGAAAACACCCTATTATCAATTTTTCCCCTATTTGTTCATGGAACAGTATCTGCTTAAGAAACACGTAGCCTATGTTGAATCTTAAAAGATACCATATTCACTTTATATGCATATTGATTTCCATGTTACAGGCAACACCATAGTCTTTGCACAACTAAACCCTAACTTGAGGAACTCAAAGAAAAATTTTATTTTTATATTTTGGAAGCACTTAGCTGTTGATTCAACTCAGTCTCATTGTGAAATGGTAAATTAAGTTAGATATAAAACCCCTACAAATGCTATGCAAGTATAGCATATTTATATAAATATTTATGCAAATATTACCATTTGGCATTGCTTTATAGACATGCCTGTGACTATATAATGACAGAAATTCACGTTCCCCACACATACAAGCTCAAAATTTACATCTCTTACTGAACAGTGTTAAATTATACATATGTATCCCCAGTGAACTTAAAATCTTTAACTTCTTATTTTTAAATCTTGCAACACTGAAGTTATTTATTGTTTAGGATGAGCATGCTTGTAAATCTCTTTCAGGCACAAAATAATGCATGCAAAGGATACTTATGCAGTAGCCCAACATTATCAGCTATCAGGTTTGTACCTATTAATTTTGTCAGTGCAAAATAAAACCGTGCACGTACACACACAAACCCATTCAATCAACCTCTACCAGCACGGGTACTAATAAAAAAAAAAACCCACACAAAAAAAACCCAAAACTACAAAATGGAGAGAGCAGCAGATTACAAACATCTGAACACAATAAAAGAAAAAAGGCACTGCAAAAGTAGTGAAATTCTTTTCAACATAATAAAAAAGAAAAATGGAATAGACAAATAAATGTTGCAAATTTTTGGAACAAATACCACCCGTTGGGAAAAAAGATGCAAAAAAACATGAGGTATGCGTATGCATAAAAAGGAATAGAAAGCAAATGAGGAAAAGAAAGGATAAAAATAACAAATTTCTATACAAAACCTTCCCTCGGGATAAAATTATACCAGAAACCAGTTCTCTACTCTTGTGTACAGAAGAGAAAAAGGAAGCCATAGCCAAAACTACTTTTCAATTAATATTTTCTTTGTTTAATTGTTCAAATATTACCCAATATTTTATTTTAAAGTTAAAATATCTGACTAGATAGCCTCATTTCTAGGTCTAGACCAGCTCTTGACACACTTTTGCTTCTAAACAAAGAGGGGCAATTTAGTGATATCGTTACATAAAATTGCAGTGAATGATTGTCTATCTAACTGGCACAAATATTACCTGAAGTGCAATCACATGTATGCTGAAAGGCTGGGGGTGAAACAGATAATCTGGAGTAATATCCCACAATGGATTATTGCTGATAATCTAATAAATTTTCATATATGACAAAACAGCCCAAATAACCTTTATCATGCTTACTGTTGACAAATGTTTAGAAGCAGATTAAATCCTAATCCATTTATGTGGGTTTCTACAGGACACAAACATTCGTTTTGAAAAAAAGGCTTCCAGCTCTACTATTCATAGAAGTTTATAAAACTCTATCCCCTACTCAGAGAAACAGCCTAGATACCCACATAACAGTTTTACACAGGTCTCATAACAATGTTCTTACACACTTCTTGAGGCTTTGGCCAATTAATCTACCAATTTGGTAGAGCTAATTCCACCCAACAAACTAGAGGCCAGTTTGCACAGGGGATCCAATTCCGATGTCAAGGCTCTTCTTGGTTCCAAGTCTCTTGCATCACTCTCAAAACCCTGAGATGGGAATGGTAAACAGTGGAATAAGAAAGCCACATGTAAGGAATAAATAAACCTGCAATCTCCAAATAAATATGTAATTCCAAGTTGAATGCCCATTGCCTTTGATGACAGAAGTGAAGAGCATCATGTAAGTTTTTCTCTTGAGGTTCAACCCTTTAACCACTTATGGCTAATCTTACAGAACTTAGGCTTTCTTCTCCCCATTTGATCTTGCTATACTTAAACAGGGTCAAGGACAACTCTAAACACAGATTTGGACATATATACACTAATTTAAAAAAGATGTCAGGATAAAGATCCTCAGCTGCACTAGAAAACCACTGGTGACCACCTACTGCTGGCAGCTGTAAAAAAAGACTTGCTGCCATTATTTTCTTTATAAAAAAAACATAAATACACAAAACTAATACTCAAACAAAAATCCTAATGCCCTTTTGTATTCCTGTTCATTACAGTTCACAAGGAATAGAAGAGGATAAAAAGATTATAAAGCAATGAGGAGATTTTGTTGCCAGGTTTAAACACAAAAACACAATAACGGTTGATATAAGGGTTGAGTACCAAAGACAAACAATACCTAGAGGAATTTTTTTTCATTCAAAGTCAAGAAGGAGAAAAATAGACTCTCACATTGAAGGCTGGGAACTCAGTTGAGTATGTGCAACATAACAACGAAGACAAAATAATCTTAAATTAGAATCAACTATGAACACATAGTTTTGGACCATAGGAGAAACAGATATAATGCCCAAGAAACACCTCTGAACACAAAGGGCATCAGAAACTGTATAAAAGGCAGTGAACACAGATTGTACAAGCAAGCATCACTGTACCGGATATGTAATACTGGAAAGATAAATGCCCAGCCTGTAGGCAATGCACAGGACCCATAAGAAACAAAACAGTGTCATGTAAATTGGCAACACTAGTTCATATCTGAAGAATGAAGGAAAGACTCCTACATCATCACTGTTGCCTCTTCAATCACGTGGGTGTCCTGTGAGCCTTCTGCAGACCCACAGAAAATGGGATGACTCCTCTGTCAATAAGTTGACCAGAGGAAGCAAATTTTAAATAGAGGCACTCTACAGGATTAGAGACAGATATGACATTGCAGCTGGCAACTATAGAAGGTGTAAGGGAGGTGTTTTTAACTGAAAGGAAGAAATGCTTAGATTTGAAAGTTAGTCTTTAGACACAAAAACCTCCTACCCTAGTGCAGAATAATGGCACTTACAAAGTTATTTTCGGACACTTAAGAGGTAGTGAATCGTATGACATAGACTCCAAATCATTCCATTCATCAATGACTCATCTTTCTCTTTTATTCTTTGGCTCTCTACACGACCATAATTCTTTTCTCATCTACTTCTGAATCCTCTTGAGTGCAGGAACTCTCCTCTCTGCATCTGCTTGGCTGTCTTCCTGTTTTCTGTAGTCTTTTTTCCCCATTCTTTTGAAACTTCCCCACTTCTCTGGCCTATAACTTGCCATTCTTCAGCATAATGCCATTTTAATCAATAATGTTCATAACATTAAAAAAAAAGGTGACACAATGTCTGCCAGCAGGTATTTACAACAGTGGCATAGGAGAGTGTGCACCAGTCACTTTCCAATTCATCTTCTGAGCTTTTGCCACCCACCACCCAGCCCTTCAGAACCTCCATTTCTGGTAGGTTCCTGCACCAAAACTGTCCTTGCCTAGCAACATCTCTTCTGCATACTCAGGACTATGCTATCTCAGTCTGTGAGCAGACACGTGCAAATAGAGGCTACCAGAAGAAAAGTAGATTGGTGGGATTTCCTCTTAAACCCTTGCTGAATGGTGGGAACACAGCCAGCTCAGAGGTAGTGCTCTGAGCATGGCCTCATGGTGAGATGCCTGCTCCGAGTCGGTTCATGGGAAATTACATTCTGCCTGCTCTTAAATTCCTCCTGTCATTTTATTGGGACACAGAATTTTTCTCTTACCATATTGCAATATAGCCTCAAAGACTACTGCCATTCACCCACTTCATTTTATATACCTTGTATGTGATTACTTTAACCATGCTTCCCCAATTCATAATGCTACAGAGTAAAGCTACTATACAGAGTTGACTAAAAGTGGAGAAAGTAGTGCAGCTTACAGAATATTGTAGCACAAAGCATGTATAGCAGCACATGCCAAATCAGAAAAACCACAGCATCCTTTTGACAGATCAGAAATCAAAACTTTTTTTTTTAAATACACAATGCAAATCATTTCAACCATCTTATACTTTCTCATAGACTCAATCTGTGAACAAGCAAATCAAGTAAATGGTTCACATTTCTATTAGTAACTATGTTATATGCAGCTCATACCAAATCAATATTACTACCAAAAAAAAAAATTTATTTTAACCAGTACTAGAATCTGTATTGAATAACTTTCACTAGCTCCTTCAGTCCCACACAGACTACCTCTTCTTTGGAGTTTTACTAGGGCAATTTATTTACAGCATCTTTAAGTCTATGTTTTGTTTTTTATAGTCCATTTGTTATATATTTCTCTACAACATCCAGAGTTCTTTGACTCCAAAAACAAAGTTGTTATGATGACGTCTCACACAAAATTATTGCCATGGTGCAGGAATATAATGCGCTAAGATTGTATAAAGGCATGAAGTCCAGTGAGTGTCAAGACCTATTTGTTCTTCCTCCTCAGTGGTAGATCTTAAATGGAGTATGTCAACCATACAGTTCCTGACAAGTATGTGCAGACTCATGTACCACACATCTCTCTTACATCAAACTTTTACCTGCAGCAATTATTCCACCTCAGCCTCTGTAACTTCAGACACAAAATGAACCTCTGATTCTTCATTTGAATGTTATTCTTTTCCATTTCTTGCATTCATTTCTAAGTGACAAAGGTTTCTTTCCAGTTCATCAGCATACTATGTTTTGGAGGGGGCTATTAAAAATAATAATCTTCTCTTTCTGCTCCATCCAGGAACATGGTACACCAAATGCAGCTTCAGTTCTCGTTTTTGACACTTCTGGTGTCACTAGGTATACATCAGGTAACGTAGCCAGAGATGAAGTCAGACTTTAGCTCTAGATAATATGCAGATAGAAGCTATGAGTCCCAGCAAGATCAACCTGTTTTCCACCAACAGGAATTTGAGGTTATTCTCAAGCAGCAGTTACCAGTTTGGGTGCTGTCTGTCACAGAAAACTATTATGGGAAACAGTTCCTGATGTGCTCCAGAGACTCCTGGTCTTCTCATCTTTTCAGTTATTTGTCATCCTTCATATTGTGGCAACTCTCTAATGAACTGTAGTTGGTCCCTTTATTGATATTCTGCCCCAGACTAGGGCAGTATTACTGTACCTCTTCAAACAGGTTGTATTAAATAGCTACATTTTTGCAATTCCCATGAACAACAAGCTAGATACGGGTTTCAAGTAGCTTTAAAAATTCAATACATTGATTTGTCCACTGACTTTAAAAGCTGGCAGGTCATCTTGGGATTTGGGTTTGATGTAAAAAAAAAAGTCTTACTTTTGCATATCTCTTTCTCATCTTTTTGAAAAACTCCTCATAGAGGAGTTTTTCAGACAGTTTATGGCTGACTCAGCTAGGATTAAGAAGTTTAAAACAATCCTATGAGAGCTCTGTACGAAACTACAGAGTTTACATAGTGTTATCTAATACACTGAATGTTACCAGATGTGTTTAAGCTGAAAAGTCAACAAATATGCTTGAATTTCTGTTTTGAAATATTGTATTAGAATTTAAGCTTAGGTAAACTTAGGTTAAGCTGGAGGATGGAGCCAGTCTCTTTTCAGTAGTGCCCAGTGATAGGACGAGGGGCAATGGGCACAAACTGCAGCACAGGAAGCTCCACCTCAACATGAGGAAAAACTTCTTTACTGTGAGGGTGACGGAGCACTAGAACAGGCTGCCCAGAGAGGTTGTGGAGTCTCCTTCTCTGGAGACCTTCAAAACCCGACTGGACGCGTTCCTGTGCAACCTGCCCTGGGTGATCCTGTCTTGGCAGGGGGGTGGACCAGATGATCTTCAGAGGTCCCTTCCAACCCCCACCATTCTGCGATTCTGTACTGCAATCGGACCTCACACCTTATACCTATTCCATGGCCTGATTGCTCCCAACAAGTGCTTGGCTAAGAAGTTACCATCGCTTTCTGAAAAATTATTTTGAAGACTCCTTCCAGAAGGACTTACTACATTACTGTCCTCAAGATTGTTGCTTTGTACAGTGAGATAAAAGGTATTTGGGAATCTGGGTCTTCAAATTTACTTATTTGAAGTTAGTGTAAAAGGAAATAAAGTTGAACTTAGCAATATACAACAGTACAGGATACATTTTCAGAAGAAAAAAACTACTTATCTTGAATTTAATTTTCAGGTTTATCTTTATACCCACACCACTGGCCAAACACGTGAATACTTAGGGGAAAGCAGGTGCTGTAACTGTTAAAGTCTGTACTAAAGAATCTGAGGGCCACCTGTACCTGTACATAGGAAATCCATTCCATAATTTGGATAGCTATTCCTTTTTCATACTTCATTCCTACAAAAACAAACAAACAAAAAAAAAACCCACAACAAAAAACAACAAGCCAACCAAACTGCACCTTCTGAGTAACGGTTATATTGGGTAGCCTATCTCCTCCTATTCACATCAGAACTGAAAGAACCTCTTTTTTTTAATTTAAAATACCAAAATTTAAAATATTACAGATTTACAGTAATATTCATTCTAAGCATTGCTCCTGTTTTCTTGTTTCATATTAAGTATTATGAAATTGCTGTGTTTTCAAAAGTATTAATCAACAATTCAAAATTTGTTACACTGTCCTAAGTATAGTTGAAGTTTTTATTACTGTCAACAACATATTTTTATTTAAACCTTAAGAATTTTTAGTTACAAAAAAAAGTAGTTAAAAGTCAATCTGCCACTTCTCTGGAAACACTGATTACATTTCACACTACTTATAAATTAATATTTTCCAAACACCATAGGAACACAATATAGTTTGTTGTTTATTATGTCAAACTTCAGGGTAACCCATATTATTCCAGTAGTGCAAAGGACATACTGGAAATGCACTCATCAACAGGACTTTGGTACTATCTATTTCAAACTCGGACTGTGCTCTTTCAGTCCTTAAAAGCAGCACTTTATCTGCCGAACCAACCGCTCACAGCTCAGCCACACCTTGCCTTATGGGGTTTTTTTAAACGGGTACATTTATGCTCACCACAATAGTGATCCTTTTCACACAGGAGACAGCTGTTACATGATGTTCAATATCCTTTTAATCCTCTATAGACCTTGGACAGAAGGGTTGACAGAACTGACAGTTTTTATTATAGCTTGCCCTGTACACAATAATCTTCTTTCACCTGGACTATTCTCCCAGAAGTGTTATAGACTTTTTGACTTATATCAAGGATTATTTCTAGTCTTTTTAGGAGAGAAGAAATTATTTTTATGTGGCATGATTCTTATCCTGTGTAAATTACCTTTTCAAAATATGAAACACCTGTTGTCTGTTTATCTTAATGTCAGTGAAACTCCTTTGGGTTCACTTCAGGAAAAACACACTTTACAAGTTCAGTCACAGACATTTTTTCTCACAAAATGCCTTCATCACCTATGCACATCTTACAAACGGCACTCTGTACAATACATCATTAACAACAGGAGCACACATCTACCATTTATTTGTACTGAAAATATTTTATACATTTAATAATAACATATATACACAATCTATGATAAAGTATAATGTAACTGAAATGCATGACGTGAAAAGTTAAGAAAACGTTCTCAGTTGAAAACTACAAACCCAGAAGAAACCGGTTTCCTCACTGCAGCACCACAGAGACTAACGATCAGACCAATAGTGCTAATGCTCATCTGTCTTGCAATTCAGGCATGCCAGTGATCCCACCGCAATTAACACGAGAGCGATTTAAACAAAGAACCTTTGTGGAGAAGTAGTCTTGGGAAAGGCAGAAACAGCAGAATAAGCTAACATTTCCCTTATTTTTAGGATCTGAGCTCCAAAGAATTCTCGGGCACTCTCTTTACCATCATCCTGCCATTTGCCCAGAGAACGGACCCGGCGTAGGTTCAGCGCTTGTAAGGCAGGCTTCGCTGCCCTGCGCTCCCGCCGGTTCCAAACCCGGGATCCTATTAGCAACAGGTAAGGGTGCAAGGGGAAGGGAGAAAAGATGGTAAAAGACCAAGGAGGTTCCTGCAGGCTTTGCTGCTGGTGTCACCTTGTGAAGGTTTCAGTCTCCCTTGTTTTCAGACTTGTAGGAAAAAAACCCCAAACATTTAGAAGTCCAGAGAAAACTAAGAGGTCAGTCACGTTTCCACTGTGAACCCAATAAAGATTGCATCTTCCCATGCAGGAGAGAAGTTATTGACCCCAGTCGACCATCTTTTTCTAAACTGTAAACCTTCTAGCCAGAGTATCCTTAGTAAAGCTCAGTCCTGCCAGATGGTGAACACTCTTGTTCGTTATCAGACTGCTTAACTGCATTTTACTTTAATATAGGTAGTCCTCAGTGGGACTCAGTTAGACAGAGCATTTGCTTATAATGAAAGCCCTTAAGCAATTTGTTAAACCAACCTAATGCAAGTCCTCCAGAAGTGAGTTCCCAGCACCCAGACTGGTAGGAACTGCTCCAGTGTCCTCACTCTTTTCCTCGCCTTAAAATTGATGCAGCTACATAGAATCATAGAATCACCGAGGTTGGAAAAGACCTCCAAGATCATCAAGTCCAACCATCAACCCAATACTGCCAAGCCCACATATTTCAGAACCCTGTGCCACTCCTCATGTCTTTTCTGTGAGAGGATCTACTGGTGTGGAAACTGCAAGAATTCAGCAGAGAATTCCAAGGTTTAATACTTTCTCTGGAAATTGCATGTGTACAATGACTTTCTTCCATCCTCTTTTGCAGATAAAGAGGTTGGTCACCATAATAAGTGACACCGTCACTTTTTAATATGCTCAGCCATCAAGACCCAGAAAAAAGGAAACATTCTTGCTATTTTGGTTCTAATTTTCTAAACTGCATAACCTTTATACATTTTTTAGACATAGGAAAATAACATATCCCTGTTTATAATATATAAGCATCTTAAAAAAAGGTGGCATTTTCTTGTATGCTTTGCTGTTTAAGGGAATTATTTGGCTTTACTTTTTGAATAAGTTTCAGGTAGAAAAGCAAAGATTCAAAAACAGTATCCACTCAGCAAATGAAAAGAGCTTTATGACACAATAACAGAAATGATATATGCAAACTACAGAGGCCAGCACAGAGAAAGAGAATCCCTCCACAAATCACACTAAGAATCAATGTTGCGTTCTTAATATCCTGAGTTTAAAGATAATTTAAATTATAATTAACATTTCAATAGTAGATAGTTGAAAAATCAGTCCTGTTTGTTTACCAGAAGTAAATACACTAATTTAAGACTGAATGATTGGTATGTATGTGTTAAATCCAGATTTTACTATAAAAACCTTCACTGTGAAGGATTTTACAACAGTCACAGTAAATATGATGCTGTAAATAAATGACATAGCCAAAAGTCACTCCCCAGACTATTGACATTTACATGAAACAAATACCTAATTTAAATACAAAAGGTTGTTTGTTTTTTTTTTTTTAATGAAAACTTACGGAGACAGTAATGGTAATATGGAGGCTCACTTTCTATCGATCTGAGTGGTCACCAAATAAATTTAGAACCTGACCCTCTTGATGGCAAGGCTGGTTCACAGAAGGACTGGACTGTATCCTTCTGCATTACCACAATTTCATTCATCCCAGAGTAGAAAAACTGCTACACGCACACTACTTAATTGGGGATATAAGATAGCTGTTCAATCTTTAAAGTCTCACCAACCAGGACTACTGTAAAGTTACATGGACAGAAGGCTGGACTAGATGACCTAACAGGTTTACACTATCTTTGCAATTTCTCCTAGTATGTTGAATAATGGCCTTTAAAAACGGCAAATTTATGTCTGCTTATCTATCTACAGTTGAGGTTTCCCACAGAGATAAGCAAACTTTAAAGAATTTAAGAGTTCATATAGCTCTCAAGTTATTTAGGATTACAGGAGTGACACAAGTATTCATTTTACTTATGAATCAAATCCCTATTTTTAGCACCTTAGCAGTTACTCCAAAAGCGACTGCTATTTACCAAGAAGGTAAATAAAAAGGACTCTAGTTAAAATAACAGTACCCAAAGAATCTAAAATATGTGAGTATTATATACAAGGATTTTCAAATACAACCACCCAAACATATTTTTAAAAAGATCTGATTTCTAAACACTATAGCAGCCCCTTTTAGGTGGATGTATATTGGCAAAGAAAACTCCATCTACTAGCTAAACATAGAAAAGGCACTGGCCTGCTAATGCCAAGAAGGCGTAGGTGGCAACTAGACCACAATCAGTTCATCTGTTTGCAAAAAGAGGCCAAATATTTGTTGCTAAAAGGAAGGCACAAAAAAAATCTTGCATTTAAGGTATTACCCTTACAACCTAAGTAGGAAGAATTTTCACATCCTTTTAAAAAGATTATATAAAAGGCAAAGTATTTGTCACATTTCCTCCCATACTAAAGCTAATGGCATAAGAATTGATACATTTTCTGGGATGCCTCAGCAGTTAAGTGCTGTCTGGAAAATATTAAAAGAATTTTTTTTTTTTTCAGAGAAACACAGCCCAGAGAAATTTTAGGATGAATTAAAAAAAATCATTAACCTGTTGATTCGCCATGGTTTGATAGATCACTTGTTCTTGAATATGTGGTATTGTACTACTTTGTACACCTCAAATTGTTAGACATACACCAAATATAGCAATCCCAGGACTGTAAATGTAGTGCAACTGAAAAGGCATACTTTTCCCATTTCCCAAAGGCATTGCATTTTCAAAAACCTGCTGGAATTTAAATATTCTCTTTTGGTAGATAGTTTCTCTTACTACAAATGAGCAGACGTCTGCCTTTTGGCAATTCATTTTTATGCAGTTATTTGAAAACAATTACAGAAAAATGTAAAATTTATATATAAAAGAAGTACTCTGCAAAGATCCAAATACTGCATTCTTCAGACAAGTCATACAGAGACATTTCAGAAAGCCTAGGAATCAGTACAAAGTGCTGCTTCTCTTCCACCCTCCGTTAGTACCTCCTCTCTCTACACAAAAACAGACACAGTACACGTTAGCACACACTTCCCTATTGCTCTCCATCCCAGGCTTAGACACTGTGATTTTAGTGTCGCTCTTTTCTAACCCAGAAGCATTAGGTTTTGATGAATATACCTGATAACTTCCAGCAGCTGCATGCCTCAGGATTTATAGGATACTACAATACAGCCTATGATACCAACACAATCACAAGTATAGCTTCCTTACCAGTGTCCCTTTTCGTTAACAGTGAGGGCTGCTAATTGCTTTCTCTACTCTGTATGAATGCCGAAAGAGGAGGATACCTGCAGATTGACAGCTCTTACCACAGCTCTTTGCAGTAAGAATCCTGAAGCTCTCTACCCCTGCCCTTTTTATCACTGCACAACCACCACTCTCCCTGAGCACTGCAGTTGCTAAAAGCCTTCAATGCTCCCCTGGATCTCAGCTCTCACCATGAATGAAGCCAACAGGAGAACCCCCTTGATGGTTACTACAGTCAGTCTGCTCCATCCCTGCATCCCTGGCTCCAGGAAGCCAAAAGGCAAGCCTAGCTATTGATCCCCCTGTCCTTGGCCAGAATCTGATCACAGAAGGATATATTCCAAGTTGGCATTACTGTAGACTGGTAAGAGTTTTGACTGTCGATGATGCTGCTTTATCACATTCCTTTCTCAGTCAGGACTTGCCTAGTTAGCAATTCTAAAAGTAGTTAGCTCGCCTGCATGAAGGCATCTTGACAACGGCTTCTAAATTTTAAGCAGTAGAAGGAAAGATACATTGTGTTAGAACCCCTCTCGAGTCCCATTTCAGGTACATTCAAGGGCTATATGGTGTTAAAACATTGTTCAGCCAAGAAAGGTACCCAAAGATACTAGAAACTACATGGGGTTCATCTCCAGTTTGTGAGTTCTGACTAAAGTTATGCAGTTCAACAAAGAATATCAATATAAATTCAGACCAACACTTAACTTGTGTGTTAGTTGTGCTGCTTATATGTGTCCAATTACGTAACATGAAGCAGCGGAACAGAAGACAACAAATGCAAGTAAACGGTGTTTAGTCACTTGTAATTCAGTCAAAATAATTTGTGTTTCCTTCGCAAACCTGGAATAGCAGAAGGATAAAGTTATCCACTCTTTAATTTCCCATTTCACTATGGGCTTGAAATGTACCAGTCACATTATGACTGGAAACACATTTGTGAAAATAGCCTCTACTCATTATTTTCTATACTCTGAAGCAATTTTTTTGCGTAATCAGGAGATGGAATATTTTGCCAGTCATGAGAGGTTTGTCTTTCTGCATTAGACAGGAATGAAGAATAGTAAAAGTTGTCTTTTCTGCATTCCTTCATTTCGTTATCCATGACCAACCTCTTCAGCCCCTTCGAAGACCAGGAGCTTTTCAGAGAGACAGGAGCTTGACAGCTTTTGACAAGTTTATTTTCACAAAGAGAAAAATAAAAGTATCAATTCTCCTAATGCTGAAGGAATCAAAATCAGTGTAATTAAGAGCAGAATGTCTATCTGTATTTTTGAAAGATCTCTCCACAAATCCATTTTGGTGCTTTACACATGCTTAAATCCAGCAACCTAGGTTCTACTAATTTGCAGTTACAAAACATGACCACACAAAACTCTGCCCACAGTTTCAAAGAACAGCAATAGAAACATGCACAATATATTACATAAGGCAGAATAACCAACCCATTTTTCAGTGAAGAGTAAGGAGTGACACTGTTCTGGCAAAACGCTCTACTGATAGCACAGCAAGATCTTTGCTAAAATATACTTACTTATGTTCACTAGTGCAGCGCAAGATGATGTACTAGCATAAAGAGTTAACACCAAACCACAAGTGTCAGAACAGATTAAATACATTGTGTGATTTTTTTTTTATTTTTCAATTGTGTTTCTTCACTTGCTAATTTGCACAATTCGGTAATTCATAAAAAGGTCTCCCTATCA